CCTCTAGGACAGATGACAGATGCTCTGATCTTGAAGGGAGGTTCTGGTTGTGATGAAGAGGTCGTAGTACTGGGAATTCACGATCTCATTTGTGTGTTGAGGGAGTAGTGAAGATACCAAACGTTCACGCTGGTCTTCTGACAACTCGCTCTGAATGATGAAGAACAACGTAAGGATGTTGTCCGACAATGGACAAGCCTCAGTATGTTGCGTTCTTCTTCCTTGGGCAAACTGATATAGGTCCGCTTGAACTGCTGATCCAGGAAGACTGGACCGGGCGCTATAGGAGTTGCGGCGCCTTGCGCGGAATGGGGCCGTAGCTTTGATGACCCTTTCGTCGCGTTGCTCACACCGTCTCTGATTGGAGTCGCTGATGGCCTGGATTTGCTCAGGACTTGTCATAGTGAAGTTCGTGGTTCAAAAAAAGTGAGGAATCCATAAAGGAATGCATTCTGAGTACCCTTTAAGAAATAGCCGCGAAGGGTGTTCAGAATCTATGAACCTTTCATTGTCCAGGCGTTTGCGGTATATGGGAGTGTCGTCTGTGAGCCGGTTCTTGAGAAGAGGTCCTTGTCTGCGCGGCTCAAGACTGTGAGTGTAGTCCAGTCCGCTACCAGATCTTCACACCGAAACAAACTACCAAGGCCGCCGTGCAATGGAGGCAGTTTAGCATTCATCGAGAAGTTGATGGTCTCCTCATGTGAAGCTGTTCCGCCGCTATGACGGCTTCGGTGGCGGAACCTGTTCCATAGTCCTCTTGACTCTACATCCTGCTTTCAAAAAAACCCGCTCCGCTTCCACAATTGAGGTTGGAAGTTGGACATGTAGGGTGTTCAAGTGGGCCCCGAATACGAACCTCGTAGCTCCCGAATATATTCCGATGAAGGGTGCCAAATATGTAATGAGGAGGTAGAAGACCAAAATATGTAAATGGCAATGTTCAGTTTCCAATGAAACAATATACTTGTACCAATACAGCAAGTGTGAAGCACTTGTTGCTCCTGCGGATGAAAGTGCTACGTCACCAGGCTGGAGCCAATATATGGCGAAGATGTAATTGCTCATGAGTGGATAGTCTGGAATCAAACCAGGCAAGCAAACCCCCGCACCCGTGGCAGGGAACGATGACGTATAATACGCACGCAGTGCTTGCGCACAAGCAAAGTCATTGAGGGTTGCACCAATTACACGCTTATACCCCTTGAATCACATTGCCTGCGTTAGTCCATCAACTTCATATTGTAGAAGTTCTTACTTACTGATTATAAAACCCTATTTCCTGAGGAAGATAGTTCTACTCGTATAAGGACTGATAGTATGCGCCGGATGTTCCAACGGATGAACCCAGATAAAAAGCAACACTTTCCCAAATATTTTCTCATCACAACTTTGATTAGTTAATGGAATGATCGCAACTTTAACATGTTCATGAAATCTGTAGTAAGGTAACGACATAGAAATGATACTCGCGTAGATGCTTCATAACTGTTGTTTGTTACTTTCTTATGTCTTGTCCGTTGAGCAATTCGAAATCTACACATCGCCATATCTCAATTCCGTCCTTTCATGGTTTTGACAGGTTGGGCATTGAGTGGATTTCGTTTACAACGTAGTCTAGATTGTTCTAGATTGTTTTGTTGTTTTAATGATGTTGTTCAACCTGTTTGTTTACATTTATTCATTCCTTTGATATCATGTCATGATGCTAAATTGCGTGTGTGTGTGTGTTTATTTGTTTGTCTTCACTGCCAGTATTCTGAGTCGTGTCCCTTCCCCGTTCCAACCTTCATGGAAGGAGAGAGAATTGAGTTACAAAAAAAGATGGCAGTATTATGATTCGCTTTTGTTTCTTCACAGCCGCAGCTACGCAAGGGCTGAGATGAAAGGAATAGACAAATACAATTCTTCTCTCGCTTATTTGTTGTAAACCCAGGTTGGTCATGTTTTTCTGAGTTGCGCCTTCTCGCTTCTCAGCTTTTATACTTTCCACGCAGGTTTCTGGAGATTACTTCTGGAGGTGAGTGAGTGAGAAAGAGAAGATTAGACAGCCGGTAGCAAATGAGGAGTGAGACAGGGAAGGCATACATAGAAGAGACAGCTTTCACTCTCTCCATCTCTCATCTTTATCTTGTTATCAGTTGTCTATGGTTTTACTACTTGTCATCCGGGTCTTTCTATCTGCGCAAGCTACCTTTCAAACAAGTGTCCGCGCTACGAAAGTTGCTTCTATTCTTCCTTCGAGAAAAGCGATCCTGATGTCCCTTTCTCTCTCCTTCATTCCCGCCCTTGCTCCTTTCATAATGAGGTGATTCACGAGAGCAGATGAGAGACAAGGCGTTCAATCCTTCTCGTCCAGAAATATGTTTGATAAATATGTTATGTCTCCCCTTGACATTCATCACATTCCAATTCTCAAACTACAGAAATGTCAAGGCGGGAAGAGATAGAAGACAGGCCTTGGGATTCGTTCACCTGCTTCTCTCCCTTGCCTTTGACGGAAAGAATCATTTCAAAGAATCCGGGAATCGATGGAGATGTTATAACTTGTCCTGATGAGAGTGCCGTTATTGCATACTTCACCTTTGTAGAACTTCTATGATTGATTCTATACTTGGAGGAATCCTAAGTCTTGAGAGCGTTAAACGTAAGTTGTTCTACACGTGCTATTAAAGACTAGAAATATGGTACGCCTCCCCCTGGTGCCTAGGTTTTGCTTGATTTCAATCATTTTTCAAGTAAGTTTGAAGTTTGTTTGGCGAAAGTTGGGCACCAAGGAAGGGGAGGTGCCACAAACCTACAATTAAGAATTCTGGGCCCAAGATTGCTGGGAGACGTTCAATGTGACAATCTGGAAGCCAAGACTCAATATTTAAGCACAATCTTTTCTGGAATTGTGGAACATTGAATCTTGCATCCCAGACTTGTAAAGAACCTTGCCAAGCGGATGAATTATCAGGCCTTACTACAAAGCTATCTATTTCTCCCCCGTGCTCTGCTTTTAAGTTTGCTTTTTGATCGGAGGAGCACGTGTGAGGGAGCGAAGTGTGAGTGAGTGGGAAGAACAAAGATCCATCAGGAGGGGCCCAGCCAAGACCCATTGTGATATTCAATTCTAAAAATCTAAAGATTCTAAATTTCGAGGGCCCAATTTGTAGAGTGAATGCTTGAGGGGCCCGGCCAGGACCCTTGAGTTCTAGGTTTTTCCCGAAAGCATCGCGAAGAGTTCCTTGGAAAAAACGGTCGCCGACTACACAGCCTGACTTAAGCAGCCTAGCTTACGCAGCGGGACTTACTCAAACTGACTTACGCAGCCTGACCTACACAGCCTGACTCACGCAGCCTGACTTACGCAGCCTGACTTACGCAGTCTGACTTACGCAGCCTGACTTACGCAGCTTGAGTTACGCAGCCTAGCTTACGCAGCCTGACTCACGCAGCCTAGCTTACCCAGCCGAAGCTCGCAGCCTGTAAATTCTATCTTCTTTCTTATCCGGGGACGGGCGCTGGCGGGCGCTGGCGGGATGAACCCTCTGCGGGGATCGTGCGTGTCGGCGCGCTCTCGTTGTGGCGCCGTGCGAATGTCAAAGCTCGCCGACGAACCCTCTGCGGGGATCGTGCGCGTCGGAGCGCTCTCGCTGTGGCGCCGCGCGAACTTTCTACGTGGCCGACGAACCCTCTGCGGGGATCGTGCGTGTCGGAGCGCTCTCGCTGCGGCGCCGTGTACGTCGCCGACGAACCCTCTGCGGAGATTATGCGCGTCGGATCGCTCTCGCTGTGGCGCCGTGCGAATTTGCACGCTGGCCGACGAACCCTCTGCGGGGATCGCACGTGTCGGATCGCTCTCGCTGTGGTTTTCGTTAAAATTACATACAAAAGTAGTATGCGAAGCGCGCTCCCGCAACTCCGGCCTGAGAATGTCAAGTTTTAAGTAGAAAAGTAGCATGCGAAGTACGCTCCCGCAGCTCCGGCCTGAGAATCGCAACTTTTAGATAGAAAAGTTGTACGCGAAGTACACCCCCGCAGCTCCGGCTTGCAAAAAAAGGAGGGAGGGAGAGAGAGGGAGAGAGAGGGAGAGAGAAGGAGAGAGAGGGAGAGACGGAGAGAGAAAGAGAGAGAAACAAAAAAAAGAAAAGAGAGAAAGAGAGAAAGAGAGAAAGAGAGAAAGAGAGAAAGAGAGAAAGAGAGAAAGAGAGAAAGAGAGAAAGAGAGAAAGAGAGAAAGAGAGAAAGAGAGAAAGAGAGAAAGACAGAAAGAGAGAAAGAGAGAAAGAGAGAAAGAGAGAAAGAGAGAAAGAGAGAAAGACAGAAAGAGAGAAAGAGAGAAAGAGAGAAAGAGAGAGAGAGAGAAAGAGAGAGAGAGAGACAAAGAGACAGAGAGAAAGAAAGAGAGGGAGAGAGACAGAGAGAGAGAGAGAAAGAGCAAGGGAAAGAAACAGAGAAATACAGAGATACAGAGAGAAAGAGGGAAAGAGAGAAAGAGAGAAAGAGAGAAAGAGAGAAAGAGAGAAAGAGAGAAAGAGAGAAAGAGAGAAAGAGAGAAAGAGAGAGAAAGAGAGAGAGAGAGAAGCAGTGTCTATATATATATATAACATCATAGATATACCCCAACATTCTTGCATCACCTTTCTCACACACGCTTTCGGGATAACCGGTGTCTAGTTTAGAATCAATTGTTTTAGAATTGAGTTCTAAAAATAATCTACATATTCTAAAAATCGGACCCCCGATATTTAGAATATGTAGATTCTTGAGAATTCAAGTCTAAAAATCTAATAATTCTGAGAAAAAATAAAAACCAAGGGTCCTGGCCGGGCCCCTCCTGGGCTGGGACCATCTAGAAGTCTAAAATTCTATAAAACTAAAACTTCTACAAATCGGACCCCCGGAATATTGAATTATAAATAACTACAAAATAAGATTTGGTTATCAGAAGGCGACATACAGCGTTCACATTATGCATAAAGTTCCCTCGCACCCCCCCCCCCTGCTGCCCGTGCTGCGCCTCCTGGGGATCTTCAGGTCCCAGGGTGAAGACCAGCGGCTCGTCCCCTCTGAAGGTCACCTTGAACCTCGGACAGCCTTTGGACCCTACGATCTCCAACTACGTTCTACCATCAGAAACCCCTCCAGATCAGCAAATGGTACTGCAAAATGTTGTTGCGCTTCTTTCCAAACGAGCAAACTCTTAGTCTGAGTGGCAGGCTTTCCAGGATACGGCGCCATAGTCATCCAGGATTTTAAGACAAGAAAAGTGGGTGTTTTCTGGCAATGTTGGCAAGTCGTGGTGACAGGAATGCTGATGATGCTGATGATGCTCGCCATGCTGCCAATGATGCTGATGGTGCTATCAAATAATGGACCTCTTACCCTTTTTATGGCAGTTCGGGTGCCAGAAAAAATGGCGTGGCCCCATGTTGCTTTTCTGGTCGAAACTGTTGCCTTAGTTTGCTCGAGGCGCCTGTGGTGTGGCACCTTGGTCTTCTGCGATCTTCGGCCCGCATCCAGCACCCAGGAGCCGTAAATTTGCAGCCTCGGGATTTCGGCGAATGGTCAGTCAAGCGCGGGGCCTTTTTGGTGGCTCAAACGCCACCTGGGTTAGATTGATCAAGTTTCCATTGCGCGGGGTGATGTGATGTAGAGGGAACCTTGGAAAGTGATGGATTCGACAGACCCGAGCAAACGAACTACCAAGCAATCAAGCAACCGGAATTAGACCCAAGCAAAAGGAAAACACCGGCCTAGCTTCTCCATATTACGATCAATGGGTGAACAAAAGGCATCGGGAATCTCTTCCTGTTCCGGATGGTTTAGGAACAAGACACGAGCAAATATAAGTGCTACACAGGTCTCTGATTTTGAAGAAGGCACCCTTGTGCTTGGCGAGTTATTTGGATGCTCAACCATGCTCGCACGGGCGCCTTCGAAAACCCGTGCCATGGAAGGTGGAGATTTGGTCGGAACCCGTGCTGATAAAGGCTCATTTAGCTGCTAATATGGCTGACTCATATCCCAACAAATGGAACACTGATCGAAATTGGCTCCGGCTGGAAACCGTTCTGGGTGCGCCGGACAGCGGGGCCCCCAGCTCCCCAAACTTTGAGAGATCCTCGCGTTGAGAGAGAAACCAAAACACATAATTTGGAGGTTCCATATCCGGGAATTGGCAGCTGGCTCCGACGTTCCATGCCAACATCCCCCGATTTCACCCACAGGATGCTCTGCCCAGCCAAAAACTAGAAAAGCACCAACCTGCAAACCACCAACATGACACCCGAAAAAATGTGTGGAGGCATCTTTTTTTGGGATCGGGCATGGGTTGTCCTACCAACCAAGATTAGAAAAAGGAACTCGCTCTTGGAAGTCTATCCTGGAAAACCTTAGAAAAATGATTCTGCAAAGCCATGTGTAAGGGTTCCATGCTCCCATTCGAGGAAAGGGGACCAGTCTCCTGTTTGGGACACACCTTTCCGCGGGTTCAGTCGGATCCCATCTCGCTGTCGCGCGCTTGGCCGCAGCACATATTCGCGAGCCACAGGACGGCGAGAAACCCGGGGAGCACCGAACTGCCCAAGGCCTGGACGGCGAAAGTCGATGCCCGCAGGGCTTAACTGGCTGAACTCCTCGTTCGATGACTGTCCAAATCTTGCGACAAATCCTAGTGAGAGGAATCACGCTCCATCCAAAATCGGCGGCTGCTGGTCATGTTTCTCTGCGCCCAACAAAAAAGCGCGGATCTAATTTTGGTTGGAAGTGGAACATTCAAGAATACTCCCGGCTGAGGACAAGCAGGTTCATTCTCCTGATTTCGTTGAACATGAAAACGCACAGAAACCAACAGTAAAGTGAAAGTGGGCGACACGCGCCCTGCACCTACGAAGGACTATTTTCCTCTCAATTCGCGCCGTACGCCTATTGGCTTGAGCCTGCCCTCTTGACAATGATTGTACATGGCGGCTCTGACCCCGGGCAGACGCTCCTGTTCTGCTTGTTGATCTTACGCCCAGCGGTGAAGGCCTCGTCGTAGACCAGCCCTGCAGCAGCATCTTCCGCTCGTTGAACTTCGTAAGTCCATCGATCTGGGCATGTCCACGCACCCATCTCAAAGATGTAGCCGTCTCCACCGCCCGCATCACCGCCTGTCCACGCTTCATCTCATGGCTTGTTGCCACGTTTAAGCGCCCCGATCGTGCTTTAGGGGGCTTCTCACAGAAGTAGTCCAATGGTCACAACATGCCTCAATCTCAGCTTGCCCGCGTAGTCGGCCTAGTTCAGCTCGATCCACCGATAAGGAAATCCTCCACGTGCAGTCCGGCAACTCCAACCACCAACTCGCATCAGGAGGCACGAAGTCGACCTTGTCGGACAGAAGCTGTCCAGCCCATAGAGCGTAACTTGTTGACCACGTTGGCATACCAGCGCCTAGGCGCATGGGCCAACCCATAGAAAGCTCGCTTCAGCCTAAGGATTTTGTCCCAACAGTCGCTTGGCCCCGAAGTGAACAGCTAAGTCCGACTGCGCTGCCACCAAGAGATCCTCCTCTTCCAAGCTCTGACGAAGTCTCCAACAACGTCAAGTTGCAGACCCACAATCTTGTTGATGTCCATGTTGCACCGCGTCACTACCCACCATGTTCGCCAGCTCCCTGACCATGGCCTGGTCGAACACCATTTCTCCGGCAGCTAGACAGATCCCCAGCTCACCTCTTTCCCTTTCTCTTTCATCTTCTTGCCGTTGCCCTACGTCCTTGTCGGTCATGTTGATCGAGCACGCGAACATCTCTCGCTGGATGAACTTTCTGCTCGTCTGCTTCCTCCGCTTGCTCTCCCGTTCTTGTGCTGGTTTCGGACTCGAGGACTCCAGCTCCTCATCCTCGGGGCTTCCTGCTTGGTCTGGCAGAGCGGTCCTTCTCTAGTACGGGTTCCACAGGAGCTCCTTGTCCTGCTCGTCTCTCTGAGGTCTGCAATGGCCTGCAATTAGTTGGCATTCGGGAGCCATACAATTGTTCCTCTGGTCGCTGCTCGAAGACGCTTGTTGCGCCGGCGGGCGTCAACTGCATCTGGCCCTCGATCTTGTTGGGCCTGGGTCGCCCCGGGGTCTGCTTCTTCTTGCTCGTCGTCAACCTCAACCAGGTCTCACCCTTCCTGCGTTCTGCGAGCGTTCTTCCAGGGAGCTTGTCCAAGGATCGGCAGGCCAAGTCGAGCGACCCAGTGATCCCGGATCAACCAACCATCTGCCTGCTTCCTTGAATCTCGTGCTACTCGGATATGACGGTAGTCGGCAGCTTGCAGACTGTAGTTCCTTTCGCCAAGGCCTCTTGTTTCCCACAAAGAGCATCGCCGCACCTTGTAGAGCTTGGCGCGGATCAGCTTTGAGCCAGTAGCCAGCCACAACGCTTGCAGCAGCATCCTCGTAGGCTTGACCCAATGTTCTCGAGCTTTGGTAGGGCGACAAACCAGATCGATTGTGGCTTGACACTGCCAGTGCAAACAGCTCCGGCACGGGATCCGACGAGCCTGGCGACGTGTCCTGCAGCACCCGGTCTCTCCACCACATCCTTGCGTCTCGCCCTGCTGATTTCCTTGTGTCCGACGGTCCAGTGAGCGCTATCCGCTTGGCGTCTTCCTCCCAAACCTGAAGACCGGTTGGTCCACAATGCTCACCGTGTTGGCGATGCGGCCACCGTCAATCAACCTTGCCAGGATATTGAGGCCGATGGCCGGGTCTGTGGCCCCCGTGTCGAGGATGACTTTGGTCGCCGTCTGCTTGCGTGTTGTCGGGTTGTTGTTCATGGTAGTAAGCACATTGATGCTGTAGGGGATGTACTGGAGGTAAGCCTTCTTGCCCCTGCGCATCTTGAATCCTTTTCCTGCGCCCTTCAAATAGGCTGCCTTGCTGGTAGCCTTGCCGGAATAGCCGCCCTTGCTGAACCTGCCAGGGGAGTTCACATGGCGATGCCGAGGCTTCCCGCACATGAAGCAGGGGCGCAGGCGCTTTCCTCCTTTCCCAGCCCCAGCACCACCACACTTTTTCGGCATTATTCCTTTGCCCTTCCTCAACTTCGAACCTTGCGCTTGCTTGTGACAGCTGTTATTGCATCCAGGTTCTTCGACATAGTCAGTATCCGCCTATTTCCACAAGCTCGGGATGGCTCTTGTGTGGTTCCGCTTCTCATCCATCTCGTCCAGACCGCCCAACGATGATCTCAAAGTAGCGGCAACGTCCTTGCGCTTCTGGGTCCGGCCTTCTCATCAACCTCGCTCTCTGTAGGGCGTTCTGCAGTTGGACAAAGAGGTCCTCTTCACGCACCACCAGTTCCTCCATCTTCGCAACCGTGTCCAGACTCGAAGGATCTTTGAGAGGTCCTTCAGCCCGGCGGGATTGTCAAAGACCTTGGGGTTCAGGTGCCTGACAACCAGATCCTCGCTTAGAACTCCTCAGGTGCCAGCCACAAGCAATCTCGAAGGCTTGGTGCTCCGAAGGGTCCCCTGACCGGCATCTGATCACGCTAAAGGACTTGTCCCTGAAAACTATTTGCTTCTCGCCGCGCGCCGTACGCCTATTGGCTAGAGCAAGCCCTCTTGAAGAACGAAAGGTCATGTCATGCAACTGCTTCATTTATGGGACGCACTCATTCTCCCGCACAGGTCCCCCCCTGTACGGACTCCCAAGCCCAAAGTAATTGAAAGTTAATTTTCTGGGAAATGTAAACGTTAAGCGAAAGGGTTCAAAGGCGAACCCCCGCAAGCCCACCCGTCCGTCACACTTCCCCGAACTCTCCCCTGAACAATCTGCCCCTTCATTTCCGCAATTTCTGCATTCTTGGGGCAAACTGAATGTTCCCCTTGCTTTGTTTGCTTTCGTGAGATGATTCCGTTGCACCTTTTAAACCAAAAACGTGCCTTTTCGAAAACCCCGCGGGGCCAAACCACAGTCTGCGCCCGGGCGGCCGCCGCCAGCAGGGGGCCCTGGGCTCCGCTTCTGGAGGCACCGCAAAAAGGCTGCTCAAGGCTGGCGCAAAGGCCCCGGCCTCCCATCTCCTGGCCCAAAGGACCCAAAGACCTAAAGGACGCAAAGGTTGCAGGGGTCCAGGCTTCCACGAAGAAATGGCAGAGTGAGGACATGGAGTTAAAGCCAAGCCCTGAAGGCTTGGGGAGGCGGGGAATGCAAAGCAGAACGTAGCATGTCCACGGGAGGGTGCATTGGCGCGCGTGTTTCGTATTTGCAGACGGTGATCGGTGCTTCCGCACCACCTGCCACGACTAATGGAATTGAAGCTGGACCTGCCTGTCTAGGGCAACGCTTCGGGCACAGTATCTCTGCAGCGAAATCTTTCTGCATTCTCTCTTGGCAATCGTGACACTTGTTCGCGCAATCTCTGTCACACAGTGTGCAACCTCTCAATGACATTCCTCTGTGTCTCTCTGATCAATTCTCTGTGAGATTCCTCCGCGCAATCACAATCTCTCAAGCGATTTGCCTTAGCACCGCGATACTGATGATGATCCTGATAATGCAAATCATCGTCCAACATCAGGGATGCTGATAATCATCACTATGCATCCGCAGCGTCGCCAGCAGTCATGATAACAGTCGTCACTTTGCATCCCCAGCATCACCAGGAGTTGTCATGATAATCATGACGATGCGCCCCCTGCGCACCTTGTCGGATCTCACAAGAAGTGCTGCGGTGTGTGGACACTTGGGCAGGGAAACCATGTTGGGGGCACTTCCTTCTGTCCGCAAGAGTCCGTTCCCCTATTCCCGGTAGTTCCCGTGATTTCAACCTTGCTTCTTTTTCATGTCAGCTTCCTGTGTTCCCGTGACTTCCCTTCAGTTGTCTTCAATTTCTCTTAGTCATTTCCCTTCATTTCCCGCAATTTATTTTCGTTTCCTCTCGTTTCCCTTCATTTCTCTCCAGTTCCCTTCGTGTTCCTCCATGACCCTGCAATTCCCTTCATTTTAGCTTCCCTCCAGCGCCCTCTTCAATTCCCTGCACTTCCCTCCATTTCCATTAGTTCACTTCCGTTCTCTCATTTTTCAGTTCGTGCCCCCTTCAGTTTTGGCAATTCTCCTTCAAACCCCCTTTGTTTCGCACCGCCAGCATGCCTTGCATCAACCACATCATCCGGGATGATGCTTGCAATGTTGGGAGTGCTGTCCAGTACAAGGCACACCCAAACGCTGATATTCATCGTTTTGCATCCGCAGCATCTCCAGCAGTCATTATGAGAATTGTCCCTTTGCATCCCTAGCGTCGCCAGCAGCCATGATGATGATCATGTCTACGCACTACGCGTCCCCTGCGTCTCAAGTCGGGCCTATCGGCACACTTGAAAAGTATGTGAAAAGGAACAGCACCGCGACTGATGATGATCCTGATGCAAAACATCACCCAACATCAGTGATGCTGATACTCGTTATCATGCACCTGCGGCGTCCCCAGCAGTCCTGACAATAATTATGACTACGCATACCCTGCGTCGCAAGTCGGGTCATGATGAGGATGGTGAGCATCGACGTGCGTGCGTGAACGCGTTTGCGCGCCGCGCGCGCGCTTGCAATCGAGGGCGGGCGCGTGCGTGCGTCATTCAGGAAGCCGCTGCTTCTGCTGCTGCAGCAGTTGTTGTTGTTGTTGCTGTTGCAGTCGGTCTGCCCGCGTGCGCAGAGCCGCTTGTGTCGGGCAGCGTCTTGCAGTTGTTCATGTTGTTGTTGCTGCTGCTGCAGTTGTTGTTGTTGCGGTTGTTGTCGTTGCCGTTGCTGTTGTTGTTGTTGCTGCTGCTGCTGTTGTTGCTGTTGTTCTTTTGGTTGTGGTGATTGTTACTGGTGTTGTTGTTGCTGTTGTTGCAAGCGCAGGCGGCCTCTTTGTTGTTGCGGAGTGAGAGCTGGTGTGCGCTAGCAAGGTGCATATGACCTCAAGGGAGAGTAAGCCAACTGTGGCCCAAATGATTGATCAGACTAAGCACACGTTTTCGCCTCGCGAACTTCTCAAGCTCACCGAATCGGCTGGTCCTTGCTCACCACCGGCGTGCAGCTCATGTCCATGAAGCTGCTGCCTCGGCAAAAAAAAGAAGCCGCCAGCCAGCTCGAAGTGATTGAGAAGTGATTCCGAACCAACATCTGGGATGAAGTGAGATTCCCATTAGTTTGTCACTTTCAAGATTCATGGCCCGGAAAAATGAAGAACCGATTGTCCACAACCATGTCGTGACGCCAAACACAGCATGGTTGGTGTCCAAAACATTGTCAGAGGGAACCTTGCATCAAGCTGCAAGCTGAGCTTCTTTACAACCCTCAGCGCAATTCTTTTGGGTCTATATGTCCAGATCGAAGTCGAAGCAAATGGGGAAAGCTGATGGAAAATTGAGGGAGCCAAAAATACCTGGACTTGCGGTGTGATTTTGGCACTAAAATACTGAGGACTACTTAGACGTCCGTCGTTGAGAGCCTTAAAAATCGGAACTGAAATCCTTTGGGGCCTATCTTCATGAACGCGGGCATGCCCAGAAGGACCAGCACGAGTGGTCTTGGCACGATTGCGGGCACTCTTTTGGTCAGCGAAGGCTGCAGGTCTTTAAGGCGCCCGTTTCCTTTCAACTTGGGCCGAGAGAGCTCTCTTTGGATTACACAAAACCAACGCACTCGGGATATGAGAACCAAACTAGCAAAATCCAAAGACGAAAGCTGCTTGCCGAGTCGCAGGCGCAGCCGTGCACCCCACAGGTGGCCACTCCGGTGGCGTCGGGCTCGCAAATGTCGGTGCTGCAATCCAACTTCCAAGTAATCTCAGCAAAGCAGGGGCTTGTGCGGTTTCAAGCGGCTGTCTGCTTGCTCCCTGGGAAACAGAAGCTGAAACGTTGGGCCCCCATTTGAAATAGTTCGCGGCTAACCCTGCAAAGCCTGGCGCGCACGAAAGATTTAGGGCAGGTCTGGCGGGGCGGGCTCCGGGCAGCTTCGGGCAGGTTGGTTTGGTTCAGTGCGCAGGGTGGGTTTAGAGCAGGTTAAGTTTATGCTCCGCTTCAGGTGTGCTCAGGGTGGGTGGTGGTGGGCTAGCTTGTGGGAGTTTAGGGTCGGTTCGAAGTTGGCTTGCGGTGGGCAAGGCAATGTTGCAACGCCGCAAACCGGCCCTACAGAGCACAAATCAAGACGCAAGGTTTGGGGTGGGTCTGGGAAAGAGCTTCTATCAATCGACTACCCGGCGTGCCCTTTGGACTCAAGGCGTTTGGTCTTGTGAAAAGACACGCCTTTGAGGAGTTTAGCCAGAGACTACCTCTCGACTTGTACATGAACGCGGGCTCCGCCGTCGACGGCTGAGGGAGAAGAAGAAGCAGCAGAAGAAGAGGCGGACGATGATCAAGCCCGTGAAGCAGGCGCTGATGTTGTACAACCACCTGACTGGGAGAGTTGCAGAGAGATGCGGAGGAGCTGGAGCTCGACAAGCTGTCGAAGTGCTGCCTGGGTGAGGAGGTGGTGAAAGGCAGGAAGTGTATGACGGGCTTTCTCAAGAGCCTCAAGAAGACGCGCGGCCAAAAGGTGAAGTCGCATGGTGAATACACAGACAAGTTGGACCAAGACGGAATCAACAGGCCGACATGACGGAAGAGCAGGAGGGCGAACACACCGAAACGAGACGGCCTTCGGACAAGCGCGAGCGAGATTGACGAGGTCGAGGCGAGCATGACCTACCAGACTGCGAGGTCAAAATACAGGCCCATCGCGATGGCTCGCGGCACCTACGTGAGGGGCAGGCAGGATGAACGGATCAAAGCTGCCCTACTGCTCGGCATGCAAGAAGAGACGTGATCCAGAGCGCCCATTGAACCAGAACAAGACGAGCACACACGCACATGGCCTACTACGCGGGCGGCGGCGCGAGATTCACGGAGGAGTTGCTCTACGGCATCATAGACTGCGCATGTAGCCGCACGGTGGCAAGCAAAGACTGGATCAAGAAGACGGTGAAGGCAGCGAAGGCGAAGAACATTCCGTACTTTATCATCGGCCAGGACGAGAAGTTTAAGTTCAGTGGCCCGGAACTTTGTCATAATGTCCAGTAGCCCGGAACCCAGCAAAAAACTGGTGACCTCCTACTGACCCTTTTCAACTGCTGAGGGGTGTGGAGTTGTATGCCAGTTTAAGCGGGCAACCACTCGAAACACTGAAGAAAAGTGCGGGAAGCCACCCAACAGAAAAGGGGAATAGGGCACCACTGAAAAACAGGGTCCTTGCGCCTTAGAGAGAAAGGAAAAAGGCCTATAGGTTGACTCGCGGCCCACGGCTTTGGATTCTTCCTTGGGCTCAAAGGGTAACGATAACTTTGGACATGTGTCGGCTTTGGACATGTGTCAAACACGCATGGGAATTGACATCAAGCAGGTGCCGCGAGACGCTTGTCATTCAACAGCCCATTCCGTCTTTGGAAGATCATTCTAATTCAAAAAATGACAGTTGAAGAGCCTGCGGAACATACCCGTAGAAGCTTGACGAGGAGCACTTTGTGAATCTCTTTGTCCCTTCTCCGTCCCTTGCATTCCTTGGTTCCCTGGCAACCCTGATTTTTGTTCCTTCTCTCTCGCATCACTTGCATTCCTGGCTTGTTAGCGCAGATCTTTTGCCATGCTTGATGTCCTGTAAAAAAGGGGCTACCCAGATAATGCATCGGGCTCCCCCCGGCACATCTGTGCCGCTCCGCCAGCCGGGTTATTTACCGGCACGACCCAAAAAACCTATCTTCCCTTCTTGTACTTCTCCTCGTAGTACTTCTTCCTCATGAAGTCCATGGACCAGCCGCGCCCGGCGTAGGCCTGCGCAGTGCCCCCGATGACGTTGCACTGCCGCCCTCCTCCTCGATCTCATCCCTTCCAAGGCTAACGCTGCCCTCCGGCCTTGCTCGATTCTGCACAGCCGTATCGGCCACGCGCTTACCTCCTCCAGGCTCCATGCAAACCTCTTCTCCACTTCCAGCCGCACCACCTCTTGAGATTCCACCTTCCAGGCAACTCCATGACCCCCTCCGGACCATGCTTCTGCCTCTTGAATTCCACCTCCACATCGTCAACGATCAGCTTCATCGAAGTTGGCTTCCGCCGCTCAAGCCCCTTCTCCTGCGACCAACTCCTGTTCCACTGCTCATCGACCTCGTCGAGCTCTCTCCTTGCAAGCTTCACTGTAGAGTCGTCCTGGCCAACTCGCAGCTCTACCCGCAATCTCTTCATGCAGCCTTGACTGTCCACCTTGCCACAACCGCAGCTCCAATTGCCATGAAAAGGCCTCCCAACACCACGGTCATATCGATCGTCTCCATGCCCGAGATCTCCGCGGCTTGCGCCAATCGCCATCATGATCCTACCATAAAAACAGCCCTCCGGGAAGTGGTTCCTACAAACGGCTTTGGGACCTACTAGGCCATCGTCTCGGGGTGGGTCCGGTTCATATTCCCTGGACCTCTTCTTCGTGGGCGGTTCATCTTCCCTGCCCAATCTTCTCAGGTTTCCAGACCTGGCTTCATCCCCATCCGGCCTTCCTACTGTCGCTGGTTCATTTTCCCTAGCGATCTTTGTTGTTGCTGGTTCATCTTCCCTGGCGATCTTCGTCTTTTTCTTGCGCCCTTCGGCCGCCCAGTGGCTCTTTTTGACCTCTTTGCCTTTTTTCACCATCCCCAATTCCACCAAGAAGCTACCAAAGGCTTGTCCTAGCAACAACTTGGTGAAACCATTGCAACAAGCTGTACACCCGGCATGTGTTCCAAGACCCATTCACCCTCCTCCAAGGCCCACCGCCAGGCTGACGGCCAAGCTGATCGCCGCCATGTTGTCCCCATACATCCTTTTGTGTTCGGCCTTCTCGCCCGTGACCACCCGCGAGAGAGACCAGAGCCCGGCCCACCGTGCACAGTATCCAATCAGCTCTGCCTCCGCTGTACTCTGGGCCACAAACGGCTGGCGCACCGACTCCCAACACACCTCCACAAACCCCACGATGCCCTGCACGCTCTTATCTTCGCCTCCCGAGGCCAAGGAGATGTCCGCGAAGACTTCCACCATGTTGGTCTGTCTTTTCATCCCCAGACCTTCCTTCGAAGCCCATCCTGCAGCCGCTCGGTCGTGCCCCTGACACACTTCAGCACGTCCTTTCCCAAATTGACCACCTTGGTCCACCTCGACATTGCCGCCACAGCCACCGCAATGTCTGGCCGCGTCTTTGATGCCAACCATAGCAGCGCCCCTGTTATGGCCTGGGCTTCCCTGATTTCTTTCGAAGTTCCACCCTTGCAATTCCAGCTTGTAGTTCAACACCGCTGTGCTCTCTTGGGTGTTCCACTTGGCCACCAAGTCCTCGGCAAACGCCTTCTAGTTCACCAAGTAGCCCTTGTCCGTATGGCAGATCTCAAAGCCACAGAACCTCATAGGCACCTCAGCCGTCGCCCATTCTGCCGGAGACAACCTCCACTTTCCTTCATCCATCTTTGCTCTGGCCACCTCAATGATCTTGTCCTCGCCAGCTAGCATCACGTCATCGACGTAAATGGACATCAGTCCCTGCACCGCTCCTGAGTCCACCTCCACGATCCTCCAGAGATTTGGTTCCTCTCTCCTGAAACTTCATCTTCGTTCCTCTGCAGATCCAATCCATCTTCCGGATCTCCAGGTCTCGATGAACACTCCAGTCTCTGGGGCTTGTAGTCAGACCATAGACCGCCTTGTCCACAATCCACATCTCATCTCTTTTTGCTACGCCCAACTCCTCGGCACCTCCATGATGATCGTCCTGCCATCATCCCGGCGTGGTGCGTTGAGGAATGCCGTATGGATGTCTGTGCACAGAAGGCTCCATTTCCTCTGACCTGCAGTCCGCAATACCATACGGATTTGCAAGCCATCAGCCCCTCCTGCATACAGCTTCTGTCCATCCGGCGACTTCCGTGCGCGCACTGCCTTGGCTGGGAGAACTTCTACCGGGCCCTCAATCTGATCGATGTCCTTTTCCTGATCGGCTTGTCCTCCACCAATGCAGCATATTCTTTCTTCGCCGCAACTCTCTTTTCCTCCAACTCGCCTCGAACTTCACTCATTGCTACCGTCTTCGTCACCAACCATTCCTCCTCTGCTTGGGCTGCGCTCTCAACCTGCATCTGGTTCAATGCTGCCTCGATGTGGTTCCTCCTCTGGAGACCTTCTCGTAGCACTCCCAGCCACATTTCTTGGTCTTCTTCTCCCGCATCCAAAATTTCCAGCCCTTCTTTGCGTGGCATGTTTGTGCCAATTTTCGAAGTGGGCCTGATTCTCCATCTTCTCCCCCTCGACGACCATCGTCGACAGAGCTGTCTTTTCCCTCAACCGCTTCCTTGGCCTCTCCGCCCTTGGCATCACGAGATCCGGTCCAGCTCTTTCTTCAAGCAACACTTCCTCCCCCGGTTCGATGATCACTTCCTCAGGCTCCCTGATCGCGTCTGTAGTTGCAAAGTATCTTCCATCCCCACAACTCTTCACCCAGTAACCACCCGATGTGGCTGACATAGCTGCGTCGGGGCCCATGATCTTCGCCCGCTCCCGATCAAAACGCCAATCCTGGTACCTTTTGCTCCAGCTCTTCTTCTTGACGTATGCAATTGTTCCCCATGCCAGCATCTCCTTCACCGGTAGTCCAACCGCTTGCAGCTGTCGTTCGCCCGCATGCCTCAACGCCATCGGCCACAAGGTAGCTGGTTCATCCCCCGCCTTGAGCAGCGTCCTGGTTGCCCTCTTGAGGACCCCGATTTCACCATTCTCCTTGACGGCATCTCCCGGAACCGTCTTCTTGACGATGTTCCTATCTTCCGCCCAGCGCTTCACCTGCGCCGCCATCAACTCTCTTGCGCGGTCGGTGCGCAACCGGTAGACCGGTAAGCCCATTTCCCAAATCCTGGCGTAGATCCGCGCAATCGCCGGAAGGACATCCGACACCTTTCGCGAAGTGATCGGCTCCACAAACGTCAGGTTCGTGACCGCCACATTCTGAGCCTCCTCAATCATCTTTTTCCAGATGTCACCTTGATCTCTTTTTCGGCTTCCTTTTCTGCGACTCTCTCTCCATCTCCTTGTTCTTCCATCGCGTCGACCTCTATGTCCTCCAGGTCATCATGTTCTGGCCCTTCTAGATGTTCAGCTAGAAGAGACTTCCCATCCCGATCCGTCGGATAGGTAAACACCGCAGCCACAAAGTACTTGGCCTGGCATCTCTGATCCTTGCCCACCGCCAATCCAGACAAGTCCACTGCCAATGTATATGCCTGCGGGTGTTGTATCCGACGGTGAGCTCTGCCTCTTCCTTGACTTTCCACACATGTGCGACAATCACGCCGAGCTGGCTGATGATCGCACGCAAAATGTCTTTTCCACTGCTCCATTGCCGTCGCACTCAACGTTCTTCACCTTGGCTTCCTTCTGCACGATCCCGCAGCGCCTCCTTGACTGCCTGCACCAACCCTGGTGCCCACGCCGACCATCTCTTCGTTTGAGCAATCCGTTCCTGCAGGTTCTCCGACCATGCCTCACCGCCCTGGCCGGGTCCTGCCACCTCCCCCAGTCCGCGCTCGAACGCCTTCCAACCTCGAAATCGCCAAACGCTTACCAACTGTTCCCTCGGGATGTCCGTCCTATAGTCTCCAGGATCTCGAGGCTGTTCTTGAGCGTAGGCCACCGTTGGTAACCTTCTTTTCTTTGCCGTCTCCTCTGCAACAATGTAGACCGTCATCATCCGCAGCCACAAAATGGAGTCTCCTTCCACCATTTCTCTTTCCGAGCCAGTGAGAGTCGGAAACCCATATGGATATTCCTCACTTCGTACTGGCCTCGGACCCGGGAATCTCGACCGACAGGCCGACACCGTGCGACAGGGTGGGCCCCCTATCACACTCACCACCGCCCCACTCTTTGCCAAAGCCAAGATGTACCCGTAGACGTCGTCATTGAGCAGGTCCTGTCCTGGATTGTTCACCTTGTCCAAGCAGATGATCACCGTACCATCCTTCTCTATGTCCAACCACTTCTTCTCGACTCCCGAGAAGAGATGAACGTGAATCCGGTCCGCCCGCTCAATAGTCCTTCTCCTCCTTCTATTCCGTGGCAACTTCACCGGGTCATATTCCGGCGCGACCACCAACCTGACCAACATGTGGTCCGGCACATCAACAAAGAACTCCTTCAGCGCCCTGAGCATAGCCTCCTCGTAGGTCCGGTTCTTTGTCGGTTCCGCCTTGCCCTTCAACATTGCCAGTTTCCAATTGAACTCTGCCTTCTTCTGTTCCATCTGCTCGATCATTTCCAAGGCCCCTCCTTCTTCTACCATAGGGCATCCAGCGATCATAGTAACCTTCACTGGGTTGCCCTTGTAGGTCACCGCGTGCACCCCGTTGACCCACGTCACCATGTAGCCAACCTCTGTCATGGCGCCCATCGGTACTATGACCTGCGTGCCCTTCTCCGCCAGTAACGTTAGCGTTCCCGGGTTGCTTCGCATCTTGGTGCTCGAACCATCCGCCGTGTACATCCACCACCTCGGCTTGGTTCCCTTCCTCTTGGCTCTTTCCAGGCCGAAGCGCGTGTGTTGCACCTCCGTCCAGACGGCCCATTCCACTGCCTTCTTTCCCAACCTGGTTCATCACAATCACCGCCTTCATAGATGGCATTCGCTGTCCGGGGTCTGGGGCAGGCCTTCCGGCCTCATTGCCCTGAGCGTTGCTTCCTCCACTGCCCGTGAGCTCCGGAAAGGGTTTACCTGTACCTTTCGCAGCGGTACTTCTTCACCTCCTGCTCGTAGCGGTGGGTCCTCCGCCGAGACCTCGAGGTCGCCCTCCCGCTCAGCCACCATGACCCCGCGTCCATGGAGCGTGACCTTCGCCTCCTCATCCCTGCGTCCATCACCGCACGTCCCGAGGAGCTACTGCTAGTTTGGGCTCATAACCCTTGTTAGCGCAGCTCTTTTGCCACGCTTGATGTCCTGTAAAAAAGGGGCTACCCAGATAATGCATCGGGCCTGGCATCTCTAGCGCCCCCCCTGGCAACCCTGGCATCCCTCGCATTCCGTGCATCCCTTGCATCACTGGCATCCGTTGCCCGTCATTCCCAAGCATTCCCCCTTTGCTTGCTGACTTCCCCGTGTTTCACTGCGTTCCCTCTGCATGTTGTCAATTTTCCTTCCAACAAATCACTTGCATCCCTCGCATCCCTCGCATCCCTCGCATCCCTGGCATCCCTTGCATCCCTTGCATCGCTTGCATCGCTTGCATCGCTTGAATCCCTGCATCGTTTGCATCCCCTCTTGTTCCTGCATTTCCCCAACCCTATCCCTCACATCGCATCCCTTGCATCCCTCGCAACCTGCGTGTCTCTTGCATCATTTGCATCCGTTGCATCCGTCGCATCCGTTGCGGCCCTTGCAGCCCTTGCAGACCTGCGCACCATGCCCTCCCTTGCATTTCCCTGCCAATCTGTCTCAAAACACGGCGCATACCCGGAGTCATGGGCATGGCGGAATGGAGAATGCTTCGAACAAGTGAGCAACATATGGGGTTCCCGTCCCTTCCAAACAGAAATCGAAAGGTGAACCCGTCAGTCAATCAAAACCAGGAAACACGGATTTTCAAAAAACAAAGAAGCGAATGACAAGAGCGGACTTTTGTACTCTGCGGATTCCTTTCCAAAGCGACCCTTGTCAAAGACTGGGGGGGTGATTCAAATCAGAACTCAACATTTGTCAGATCGGCGTAGGAAGGTCGCCCTGTTTTGTTCGGCCTAGAGTTTTGGCTTGGGAGGAAGGATTCTGAGCAAACCGATCGAGGGGGGATTCGTCTTTGAACAGCGGGCTTTGCGAGTTTACAATTTTGTGGCTACGAGCCTTCAGGGGGTCTGCCCTTCTGGGCTGGCGGTTTATGGGGTAATTGCCATGCAACCACGCAAGCAACCATCTGGGCGTCAGTTACAACCAGTGACCCCTATGGTTGGTTTCAGGCGTGTCGCTTCTACTCATTCTCAACGCAATAAACCTTGTCTTTCGCAGCCTTCTGTCTCAAATTGCCAAAGCCAAGGCAGAGAACCATCAGTGCCAAGAATGGTAAAAAATAACCCAACAGATTTGACACGCTTCCCCTGCGACTCGGCTAGTGAATGAAAATGCGAGGCGCAGAATAGGCCACAGGACAAACGATGAGCACGTAGAGACACCTGGGTTGGTAGCACCTACAAATGAACTGAATGTGACATGTCAAAAAGGGTCTGGCGTCATGTTCCTCCTTCTGTGTGATAGGGTGACCAAATGGGTCAGGTGCTGCAAAGGGTCCTTTTTGGGGAATGAACAGGTAGAGATCAATAGGGGCAATGTGATGAAGGCGGCCAAAGGAGTTGGGGATGAATAGTCATCAGCCCTGGCCACACTTCCGACCCCAAACAGCAATCGCACTCGCGTCAATTGGACCGCAACTGCAAAAACCGAAGACCATGCCCGGGCAGCAAAATCAAGCTGCCAAGTCAAGGTCTGTCATGAATAGCAAAGAACGCAAATAAGCGTCATGGAAAACGAAAACCGAAAGTGCTGCAAGTGGCTTGCGATGTTTCCACACGTCTGACACGACCAACACAAGAACACGAATCCGCACCACGGCGCCAAACAATTGGGGCGCGTGTGTGTCACAATCTCGCGGCCAGTTTCACTGCCATCTGTAGCAATCAGGAGAACAAGAGTCAGTCCAGTCATTACCTTCGCAACTCGGTTCCAGAATTTGACATCCGCGCACATACGCGCACATCAACAGGAAACCTGCGCGCAAAACGGTTGGCTCGCTCATGTTCAGCATTTTGTGCCGCGAGGATACAGCTTTTAAAAAAACGTCAACGCATGTAGATACATGTTTGCATACGCACACACACACCTTGCATACTTCAACTTTACGTGAGGGGATTAACTTCTGCGCGCAACCCTGGCACCCGATGGCTTCGATGCCGGGACTCCAAATGGCGTACAGGCCCAAGACAAAGCGATTCGCTTGCTGTAGCCATCGCTTCCTGCAACGTAACACCGGTCACGTTATCCTCTTAGGGGGGGCTGTTTAGGCGGAAACTGAAGGCCAAACACGCTTACTGGGTGGCACTTGGGCCGCGCCAACAAGCTGCTAACTTTGGGTTTGACTCTTTCCAATCCAAGAGCACGTTCCTGATTTCCTAATAACTCGAGGATTCCTGGTCCGGGAAATGCCGGACTCTTGGAGTACTACCAGAAATTCTACAACGACAAAAACCAAAAAAACGAAGATTCCTGGAATTTCTGGACGATTCCAAGAACGAACTCCCGAATTCCTGGAAGTCTGGAATAGCTAAAGAATTCCAAAAAAATCAAGAAACTCCGAAACCAAAATCGCAAGAAACTCCAGCGAAATGCACCTGATTCCGTCGGGAGGGCGGGGACGTCACCTATGCGCGATAAACAGGTGGCAAGTAGTCGACACCGTACAGTACTGTAGATCAGTATCAAACCTGGCGTGCCGTGGGTTCGCAAGGTACTTAAAGTTGTTTAGAAGTTGCGCCCGCTTGCTCAGCCAAACCTGCAGTGTTACCCTTCTATTCGACCACAGCGACGGCGTGGGCGAAATGGTACAGAAAAATCTTGCAGGGTCCGGGATTTTTGTCTTGCTCTTGGGCAGGAGAAGCCAACATGGCGCTTTACCCTGGCTGTGGATGGATGGCTGGCTGTCTGGGTGGATGGCTGGCGAAGGTTGGCGCTGGGATGGATGGATGGCTGGCTGGATGGATGTTCATAGCCCACTCATATCATCCATGCAAAGAGACTCAACCCCAATTGCTGTCCCCTAGGTTGAATTCAAATGACCTGAAAGATCAGCTGTGTCGGTCAAAGCATCCAACCGTAATTGCAGCCTTCCAAACCGAGATGTAGCAGCGAGGAAACTATTCTACCAGCGCGCGCAGATTTTTTTTACTCGACCGCTTTGGAGCGACCCTTCTCGCTTCCTGCGCTGGGGAATGACACCTGGCTCTAGGCTCATCGCGCGTCGAGGGAACCACACCGGCGTTGTTGAGGAGTCTAGAGAGGGCGGTTCACAGACGCGGCGTTCAGCGTGCATCAAGCAATGGCGAGAGGCTCACGGCTTGCAGGCGGACGCTGACTCTGCCTATACCTTTCCAGGCACAATTGTGAAGGTGTAGTCCACCAAGCTTGAGACGCTGCTGGCTGGGGGACACGGAGTCGTCACTGTCTCAACCTACCTTCAGTAGATGCACACCATGTGATGCTTATGCGCCGGTTCAGGGCCAAGCGAGCCCGCCCAACCTGCTGCTAGTGTTGGGCAAGTCCATCGTGTGATACCCTCAAGTCGTGTGGAGCTTTGACAAAAAGGCGCAACTTGTCAGACCGGTTCGGCAGAAGTGTGTCGGTGAGCCACTGAGAGAGACTACTTTGTAGCTGCGGCGCTGGGTTGCAGCACCAAGTCGCGGGCTCGCGAGTTTGCAAGGAAGTTTGCTGACAGCCGGGCAGCCCCAGGCGCGCCGAGGTTGGAGGAAGCAAGCCGGTCAAAACAAGGGGCTCGTCGCTTCATGCGACTGGTCAAGGAGAAGAAGGTGACCCTTGGGGGAATGGAGCTGCCGACGACACGGCGCTGTACTCGCGGATGGCGATCAACCGGCTCAAGCGCACGCGTGGACCGCACGGGCGTCGATGATGCCGGATGTGTTCAGGAGATTACTCGTGATTAGGACGTGATTTTTGCTGCGTTGAGATGTCTTGCAGCGGGCGCCTCGAGCGCTAGCCTAAGGCACGCTGCTGCGATGGCCCATCTTCGACTGTTTCACAAGCACAAGGACAAGCGCAAGCCCAGTTCAAACTTGCTAGGCAACAGCCACATGCACATGGCTTCCTGAATAAATATTTCACTGGCTAAGCACCAAAGCATATACAAATATAGATATACGTATCAAAGTTTGTTTGTCATTGGCAGAAGCTGAAGCGAAGCTTTGGGTCTGTAACAAACCTCGCCCTGCAGAACCCAAATGAAACAGTGAGGCTTGGCGTAGCCGTTACATGGTTGCTTGGCCAAAAGAAAGTGAAACGCAGCTACATGAAAAAAATGTTGACTGGCGGTTGCCATGGAATCCTGGCATCTGGCGGGCTAATTGACATGGTGCGGCGCCTGATCCACAGCGCAGCGGAACTGTACGACTTAATGGAAAACGGCCCGGCAAAAGAGAATTGTCACCCGTCCATCTGCACAAGAAATTAGCATCATCATAAAACTCCCCCAGAATGTGTGAAACGTGCGCGCTGGGTAAAGACATTGAACTATATCTCCGGGTATAAAAAGTCGGTTTCCTCTCAGCCCCCAAGTTGTCTGACCAAGGCCTGACACGCACTCGCACGCAGCCTCCCGGTAAGGCAGCGGTCATACAGTGAAGCAGCGCAATTTGCACCAAGGTCTCGAAGGAGGCGATGCCAGCAAAAACAAGATCCCTTGTGCTCCAGCGCCTGATCCACACGCAGCCACGTGAAGGGAGCAAACGCATCACCTCATAGCGTCAGGGGGTTCCTGCGCCAGCGAAGGAGACTGCGAGCTTGCGTCGAGAATTGGCCAGGTCCGCGACGCGCATATACCCTCGACGTTCAGCGATTGGAAGGAAGGTCCTCCAAGGAGCTTCCGGGGCCAAACTCGGAGGGGAAGGGCGAAGACCAGATCTTGGGTGAGGTGCTGAGGCAATGTGGGCCCATCTCCCGAGATCAGGCTATAATTGGTACCCAAAAAAGTATGTAGGCCAGATTACAAAGAACGCGACACATTGGACCAACTTATCCCGTTTGGTCTGGGGGACAGAAACCCGCCTGCACGAAAGTGAAATGACCATCCAATCCAAGCGATTACTGGCCCGATTTGCACCTTGCGCCAGGAAACTGGAAATTGGAATATCTCGCCAAAGGCCAACACCGTGGTAGCAATCCATCGTCCGTAGAGAAGAGCAAATTGTCAACGTATGGTAAAGCATACGAACGAAGAAGGCACCCGCGCGGGCAAACCACAGAGTCGAAACGACGGCCCGAAAGGGCAGACCTTACAAAACAAATAGCGGACAGGTTTGCCTGGAAGTTGGGTGTGAAGTCCAAGTACGCCTCGGTCTTGATCGCGGACACGCACTGTCTTGTGCGCTGCTTCAATGTCAGTTGACGAGGCACCCGCAAGGTGTGGTGAACCAAGAAGAGAAAAGCGAATAGCGACAGAAGAAAGCATAGGCAGAGAGTAAGACTCGTTCATCATGCGTGAGTCATTCGTACTGCAAATTATACCACTAGAGCGGGCAAAGCCCGTGGGGGTGGGCGGAAGTTGCTAAAGCGAGAAGAGTGTCTATTGGAAGAGCTTGGCATGCGTTTCCTTTTTTCGCTCCTTCTTCTTTCTTCTTGTTTTCTTGTTTTCTTGTTTTCTTGTTTTCTTGTTTTCTTTATTTCTTTCTTTCTTTCTTTCTTTCTTTCTTTCTTGATTTCTGTCCTTCTTTCTTTCCTTCTTTCTCTTCTTTCTTTCTTTCTTTCTTTCCTTCTTTCTTTCCTTCTTTCTCTTCTTTCTTTCTTTCTTCCTTCTCTTTCTTTCCTTCTTTCTGTCGTTTTTCTTTCTTCTTTCTTTCTTTTTTTTCTTTCTTTCTTTGTTTCCCGAAATGCTTCCCCTTCAATTTGGGGGGGCTCTCAAAGTGCCCTGGCTCACTCCCAGGGCAAAGTTCCCAGCGCAAAATCAAAAAAGGTATCGCCCTGCCGCCAGGGTGTACCTTTGGCCTCTACACGCTGCGCGCAAAAGACGATGCGACTTTCAGAAGCCAACTCCAAACTAGCAGGGGGGGTCAAAACAGGAGGAATTTCAAACAGGGATCGCCCTACCGTAAGGGTGCATCTTTGGCTTCAACACGCCGTGCGCAAAAGACAATGCTTCTCTCGCAAACCAACTCCTAACTAACAGGTACCGGGTATTTACCCACCCGCAAGTCGAAGTGGTTTTTACCCTCGCCAACATGGTAAGAACACCCTCTCAAGAGCACCCGCTCAGCGCTGCACACACACACACACACACGCACGCCAAATAGTAAGCGCAGCAGCTCAAGTGCACCCGCTCGGCACTGCACACACGCATGCCATATGGTAAGAACACCCGCTGAAGTGCACCCGCTGGTCACTGCACACACACATGCCAAATGGTAAGAACAGCGCACCCGCTCAGCGCTGCACACATGCGTGCCGAATGGTAAAAACACGCGCTGAAGTACACCCGCTCGGCACTGCGCGCACGCATGCCAAATGGTAAGAACACCTGCTGAAGTGCACCCTCTCAGCACTGCACACACGCATGCCATATAGTAAGAACAGCCGCTGAAGTGCACCGGCTCAGCGCTGCACACATGCGTGCCGAATGGTAAGAACACCCGCTGAGGTGCACCCGCTCAGCACTGCACACACGCATGCCAAATTGTAAGAACAACCGCTCAAGCGCACCCGCTCAAGCGAAACAACAAACAACCCAGTCCACGAAGGCGGCGGAATTCAAGTTCCACTGGGATAGGGCATGTCTCCAGCCGGTGCCCCGGCTTCTTGCAGCCCAGACATCGTCTCACTGCCATGTGTCCTGACAAGAACAAAACATGCGCGGCTTTACTTTGAAATGAGTTAGTTACCGGGATGTTCAAAGACCCACAAAGATGCACGTTTGTCAAACTGCCTGAGAATTCAAGCACAAAAACCGAAGACATGCAAAAAAACACGCGGGTGGGTATGTTCCCGGCGCGAACTAACAGGGGGGGAGTCAAAACAAGGGTAGTTAAAACAGGGATCGCCTTACCGTAAGAGTGTATCTCAACACACTGTCCGCAAAAGACCATCCCATCCCGTGTGACTTTCTAAACGCGCCTTTTTGCTGCCTGGCACTGGCACTGACACGACTGCGCTGGCACTGACTGCGCACTTGCGCTGGCAACGATGAGCCTGCCACGAAATTCTGCGCTTGACCTTGTGCGTGAACAACACGCTGCGC